TCATCGAGCCGCACTTGGAACATGCTGGGGATGAGTATAGCAACTCCCACTGCAGTCTTGTTCAGGAAGCGATCTTCGAGGTAGAGCCAAATGGCGTTGGCAGACGGGTAGTTGTGGTAGGTTTTGACGAGTTCGGGAGGAGTGGTGCCTATGAAGACACTAATGACCGCACCATCGGCCTTCTCCCAATTCTTGTACTTGAGCAGTGCAGCAGCATAAACTGCTTCGGCGGCGGCATTAGCTGAATCGGCGGACCTCTCGGGTTTAGGAGGCTCTTTGCCGTCACCGATGTTGAGAAGGACGTCGGTGAGCTCGAGCCCCTTCACCTCCCGACTGAGGAGGTGCTTGTCGACACCATAGCGCCAAGCCTTGTAGTTGGAGCATGTGCCGTCCGGCTCGAGACGAAGGAGCGGGATCGGGTTGGCGAGTGAAGTGGTTGAGTAAGCCATTGTCGGCGTGCAGCGCGGCACTTCTAGAAATTGGTCCACGAGAATTGCTGAAAATCACTCTGACGGCCTATCAAAATGCCGCTAAGTAGGAAATGGCGTCGGCGAAAATTCGTTAAAACGCCGACTTGAAACTGAATCTGAGCCTAAGTCTAACCCCGGACCCACACACCCCCCAACACACCCCCAGGCCCTTTCCCGCAACTACACAGCTCCGCAACCAGCTCCGCAACCAGCTCTGCAACCAGCTCCGCAACCATCTCCGCAACCAGCTCCGCTCCGCTTCAACCTGTGTATCTGCTCTTGCTTGACGCGAGACGTTCGTGGAGGCGATTTTGCGAAGGGAGTTCGCCTATTCTGGCGGGGTCTGAAGGGAAACTCGAGAACGAGTTTTAAGAGATGGTCGAAATTGAGATTCGACCAAGGAGAACCGAGGAGGAAATCGACGATGAGAAGCGTGAACGCTTCAGAGATGAGAAATTCAACGAGGTCGAGCGCGAAGGCGGTCGACGATGAGAGGCGCGACTGCAGAGTGGAGCACGTCGAAATTCCGACGACTCGAAACGAATGTCGCGACGATGAAGTGCGCGTAGCACGGGCACGTTAAGATTAGGACCTTGATCCACGTGTGCGGATTGGTCGCTCTGATACCGTGTAAGAAATAGAGTTGAAATAATTTATTAGGAAACGAGCCCAAGGCTCTATAAGTACATGGCAAGGTGAGAGTGAATGGATGAAGGGGGAATTGGAGGGAATCCCCATTGGGATCTCCGAAATCTCCAATTGGGTAAGTGGAGATTGGGGGGATCACAATTGGGTGAGGTTGGGATTTGTGAGTACACCCCAACCCACTAGAACATTCATAACCTAAACTAGGATATAAAAGTACAAATACAAAAGTAGGATTTGCAATCTATTTCTAACACACCCCCATAGACCGCAAAACCCGGTCAAGGAGCATATAGCCCCATGGAACGAAGAAGGCGATGGTGGTCAGCCTTGCCAAGAGCCTTGGTAAAGAGGTCGGCGAGGTTGCAATCTACGGCGATGTACCATACCGTCAGCTGGTCACTCTAAACAAGATCTCGGATGAAGAAATGATGGAGTTCAATATATTTGCAGGCTATTTCTAACATAGGGGCCTCGGCCTTCGTGTGGAGAAGGAACACCGAGGAGTACCTGCTGTGGTCGTTGACTAGGACAAGCATGTATCGGTGTTCTTGGTGGGAAGGGGAAGGATTAGGGCCCCAGAGGTCGATGTGGACCAGGTCAAGGGAGGCGGCAGCAAAGGAAGGATGACTCAGGTGAGGTTGTTGTTTGAGCTTTCCATGAATGCATGTGGCGCATGGGGGAGTGGAAAAGGACGGGAGGGGAGGAAGAGTGGGGGGAAGACCATCAAGCAAGCAGGAGGAGATGGCTTTATGAAGTGTGGAAATGTTCATATGACCAAGGCGATGATTGATAAGAACAGCGGGGTGGGACAGTGCGCGACAAGAGCTTAGGGGGGAGGTGGAGTTGGAGAAAGGTGGCTCTAGAGGGAGGGGAGGGGGGAGAGTGGAGGTGCTTGCACGAGTGGTCACATGGCATAAAGAGGGGCGGGGTGTGCTGAGGATGTACTGAGGAGAGCGTGGGCAAAGTGGGAGGCGATGAAGGAGGCGACGAGTGGGGCCGTGGAGGAGGTCACAATAGGTGGCAGAGGTGGGGAAGAGGGTAGTGATGCCAGCATTTTGGAGTTCACGGATGGAGAGCAGGTAATGATGAAGGGAGGGAATGTGGAGACCAGTGACCACTTCGGAGGGGAAGGGGAGGCAGGGGAGGGTGGAGAGATGAGTGCAAGGGACGGAGAAGCTGGAATCAGCGCCATGAACGTTGGTGGGGAAAGGGAGGGAGGTGAGGGTGCCGGCGTCTTTGAGGTCAGTTTCAGAGCACTACTATCGAGAACAAAGTCAATCGTGAGCGAGGAGGGAGCTGAAGACAAGGGGTACTGGAAATCAGCGGCATTAAAAACAGAGGGATACATGGAAGTGGAAGCAGGGGAAGAACACATGAGCTCGCCTAGAAAGCTGGAGTGGGAGGTGGGAGCACTAGGGGAAGGAGAGCTCCAGAGAGGATAGCCAGGAGGACCTGTTGTGGCTGTGGCAGCCATGGCGGCGGTGCCAAAGCCAAGCTGCTGCTGCTGCCATGCAGATGCTGCGACTGCGGCTCCTACAGCTGCAGCTGCAGCCTGACCAACAGAGCCCCACTACTGCTGCTGCTGCATCTGCTGGTGCTGGTGTAGCTGCTGGAAGCGGCGAAACAGCTGCAGTTCCTGGGCGTTGGTGCATATTCGTTTGCACGTCATCCTGTCGTCTGTTCGCATCATTTCGTTTGCATGTGTTTCGTGTGATATGTTGTTTGTGTGGTTTGTTGGGTTTGCATGTCTTTGCATGTTCATCTTGTGCTTGTTCAGATGCACCTGGATTGTGCATGACATCAAGCACATTTCAACGAGCCAAGAATTGTTGGAATCAGAGCACATATGAAGAAGTTACGAAGAAACATTTGATGGCTTGTTTCAACTTATTGGAAGTCCTTGGCAGCTGCTACACCAAAGTTGGAGAGCCCTATAACGAGGAGGGACCAGCATGTGTTAGAATTTTGTCCTCACCTTGCAGCTGCAGCATTTGGGGTTTGGAGGCCAACCTGGCACAGTGTGAATTTTGTCTTGCCAGGCTGGTTGAGCCTGAGGATGGGGAGTCAAGAAATTGACTCTTGTCATGTTCTTGACCAAGGGCCTTCACAGCCCTTCCCTTTCATCCTTCCCTTCATACCTCACCTTCCAAACTGTGCTTCAATGTTTTCCATCATGTCTTTGAACTTTGTAACCTTAGATGATTGTGACTCTGAGGACTGTCAACTTCTCCTAAGGCAGATTACCCCCCAGTGCATTCATTGTCATAGCTCACTCGGTAGGCTAAGAATTCGAGTGATTCAACTTGCATTGGAAAGCTAATGCTGCAAGCAACAACATATCAGAGTTTCACAGTGTTTCATCTATTCAATCTTCGGATATAGCTTTTCAAAGGTTGCGAGCTTTCTGGGCGCCATAACAAAGTGCTGCAGAAATTTCGAAGGAGCTGTCAAATCTTCTGCTCATAGCCTTTTCGAACCAACAGCTGGTATCAGAGCCCATTATCACGCATTTTGGGACCTAAAATACGATGGGAGATAAGGAGGACTCTGGTGGAGGTGACACTACAGCTCAAGGAGGCAGCTCAACCCAAGATTCTGGCATTGCAGCGCAAAGAGGAGTGCGTACAAGCCAGGGGTCATTGCTTAAGGAGGTGCTGAAACATTTCACTATTGAGCCGTTCTCAGGAAATGGTTATGATGATTGGGCATGAAAGATGCAGCTCTACTTTCGACAAATTGGCCTTTTGAATCTCATGATTTCAAAGAAGCCAAGGCCAAACGGACGTGGTAGAGCAAACGGACTGGGATGAACGTTCATCTGCTGGGGATTATCTATTATCCCAAAGATTGGAGCTGAACCAGAGGCATCACATCATGCATCTGCTACCGGAAACTGATTGTGGGCCCAAGGCATGGGCAGTGCTCAAGGACCTGCATGCGCCGACATCGGTTGCCGCTACTCTCATGCTGGATCGGGAGCGACGTTGCGGTTGAGCAAGAATGAAGCTGTGCAACCAGTACTGGACAAGATGAGGGAACTCTACGGGAAATTGGCGATCGCAGGCAGCACGTACCCTGAGCAGACCAAGTGTCTCAAGATGCTCAGCCTGCTGCCCGAGTTTTGGCTGCAATTTATAAGCGGACTCAGCTTGCCACAAAACCAAAGTCAACAGACATTGGAGTGGATTCGCACCAAGATTATGGAAGAAGAGTTTCATCGCTGTCAACTGCGCGGAGGTGATGACAGCACCAGCGGCTATGCCATGCAAGGGACATGGAGGGATCGAGGGCGTGGCAATCGCAGTCGCTCTTACTACAACAAAGGTGGTCGTGGGACTTGAAACCAGCGGGGGTGTGGTGGCGCTGGTGCAAGAGGAAGAGGTGGTCACTCCAACAATGACAACAGTGAACCACACTTGAGGGGAGAGTGCTGGTATTGCAAGGAAGAAGGGCATCTATGGTTTCGCTGCTCTACCAAGCCTGACTGGTGGACCCCTTGGAACCAATCGCAAAAGGGGAATGGAGGAAAGCACCTACATGGAGGTGCACACATGGTAACTGATCCTGCTGAAGAAAACTCCAAGGATGACGGAGTTATGGGAAATGAGGAGAGGGACGCTGAACAGTTCTATTATGTAAGTCACAAAGATGATAGTGACACAGCTGTTGCAAAGGCTGGTGAGGAACTGCACCCGCTTGATATGTGGGTCATGGACTCTGGTGCGGCATCGACAATGACACCGCGCAAGGACTTGTTGGATGATGTCCGAGCGCCTCCAATCTCTGAAGTGCGCTCAGCATCTGGACATGCTATGAAGGTCGCTGGAGTTGGTTGAGCTGCGTTCTGAGCACTCAATGGTGGACTGGTTGTCCTGAAGGATGTGTTACTGTTAGGATTAAGGACGGAGTCTAGGTGAACTTAGGAGCTAGAATTACTCAAAATATAAATCCGAAATTCTGGACAGAAAAGTCGTCTTCACAAGAAACGACGTCGACGACAAACTAGCCGTTGGAATGTCGCGAAACTTGGATATGTTGTAGCTCTTAATCTCAGCTACCGTTCCCAATTTGAATCATGTTGATTGATGAAGTATTCGCGACGCTATGGCTTTCGACGCACTAGGGGGTAAGCTGTAGGAGGAGAACTTAACTCAATCTCAAAAGGTTCAATCAAAGTTCAAGAATCTCACAAGGAATTAGAGGAGCAAGAGAAAGGTTGGGATAGAAGAGAGGGATGAGAAGGAAGGTCCCAAGAGAGTCCCCAACCAAGGAAACCCCATAAGCACAAAGATTCCCTCCCTATAGGAACCCCAACTTTGACATTTGTCCCTCCCCAACCAATCCATCCAAGTTGGCCACCCTTGCCAACCTAGCTTGGTTGTTCCCAACCAATTTGCAGCTGTTACAGTAGAGTGACAAATTTCCCCAACCCCCAAAGGTCCCAACTCCATATAAAGTCACCCCACAACTTCACTTTGTAACCGCCGCAATTGTAACGCAAGCTCATGAACTTTGAATCTTCATAGCTTTCGCGTTCTTGCTCCGATTGAAGGGATTCTCGTTGCGTCGGAAAGATCTTCTCAAGATCTATCATCACAAAAAACCTGCTCAAACAAAATAACACAAAACACATTCCCAAACTCCAGAACACATCACACACAAATTCTTGCACACGTTCAAACCACACATGCAAGTTGAAAACATGGGATGGGAGGCAGACAGAATGTGATAGCATATGATGACATCACACAACAATCTCCCCCTCTGGCTGCCAACCATCATCCACCATACCACATCTCAAGCATGCATACTCAATGCACACTCATCCCAGCAAGCTTCATGCCCTTCCAATGATCCGCCTCCGCCAGACGCTTGGTGAAAATATCTGCTGCCTGCTGATGGGTCTTCACTATCTCCAGCCGCACCTCCTTATCAAGGAGTCTCCTCACCCAGTGCCACTTAGGCCTTATGTGTTTTGTCAGACCATGCAGACAAGCATTCTTGGCCAGCTTCACTGCAGACTCATTGTCACAGAACACAACTGTCGGCTCCTCCTGACCAACTCCCAACTCCTCCAACAGACGCCTCAGCCATACCACTTCCTTGGCCCCATGGTGTAAGGCCATGTACTCAGTCTCACATGAAGACAATCCCACCTCATTTTGCTTCTTGCTGCGCCAGCTCACAGCACCACCTCCCAGCAAGCACACATAACCCCCAATGCTGGTGCCATCCGCTTTCACTGAGTTGAAGCTTGCGTCAGTATAGCAACTCAAGAGCATCTCTCCACTCTTCACATCTGCAGCACCTCTCTGCAACCGCTGCCTCACTCCACTGTACTCCAATCCCACTGATGCCGTAGCACTCACATAGCGGACCAACCTCTTGGCCGCTTCCAGCTGCTCATGACTAGGGCGTGAGACCACACTAGCCAACCGTGATGTAGCAAATGCAATGTCAGGCCGTGTATGATTTGCAGCATAATTCAGCGACCCAACCATCGAATGAAACAGCTTCCTGTCACTCTCACCCACTACCTCCTCATCAGCACATGGCTCCACAGTGAACCCCGAAGGTAGTGGTGTTGCTGGCTTTCCCCCATCTTGCAGCCCATACTTCTCAGCCAGCCCCTCACAGTACTTCCTCTGGTGCAACCTCAGCACACCCTTCTCCACATCTCTCTCCACATGCATCCCCAAGTAGTACTTCACCTCACCCATCTTGGAACACTTGAACTGCATCTCTAGCATCTGCTCTGCGCTGTCCAGCAAAGCAGTTGATGCAGAAAAGAGAAGGATATCATCCACGTACACCAAGAGCATGAGGATTTCATCCTTCTCCTGCAGCAGGAACAGGCTGGGGTCACACTCACTCTTCTTGAAACCCCCAGCCAACAGCGCCTCCTCCAACTTGTGATACCATGCACGAGGCGCCTGCTTAAGGCCATAGATGGCCTTCTTCAGCCTGCAGACCCTGCCGCTCCCATCATCCAGCCCCTCTCGCTGCTTCATGTACACCTCCTCCAGAATGATCCCATTCAGAAAGGCAGTCACAATGTCCATCTGCCGTATCTTCCATCCCAGGAGTGCAGCCATCGCCAATAGCACCCTCAATGTTGTTCCTTTCCCCACAGGAGCAAACACCTCATCATAGTCCTTCCCCTTTGTCTGCTGAAACCCCCGTGCCACAAGCCTTGACTTGTAGCGGGTCAGCTCCCCTTCAGGTCCATACTTGTGCCTGTAGATCATCTTGGAAGTGATTGCCTTCTTCCCAGGAGGCAAGTCACACAGGTCCCATGTCTCGTTCTCAATCAGGGACCCGAACTCCTCATCCTCACTCGCCTTCCACTTCTCCCCATTTGGTCCATTCAAGGCCTCCTCTCGAGTCTTGGGCTCAGGGATTGGTGCCCAGTAGCAGTGAGCGATCTCATCTTCCTCAATCTGCTCAACCACACTCCCAGCCTGCACCACATTCGGCTTGCCTCTTCCCCCATAGGTCAGCCTCACAGGAGGGCGCACATCCCTCCTAGGACGCTCAGGCGGGTGTGGAACTCGAGGTGGAGACTCATGCTGCTGCTGCTGCTCCTGCTGCTGCTGCTGCTCCACTTCAGCTGCTCCCCCTTCCTCAGTCACCCCAGACATCTCCTCCTCTGACACTGCAACCTCCACCTGTCTTGAAGGCTGCTGCACCTCATCTGCCTCCACAATGAGCGGTGTAGATGGAAGCTTCTGTTGCTGCTGCTTCCATTCCTTGTAGTACAGGGACTCAAGAAACTTCACATCCCTTGACACTGTCAACTTCTGGGTGGTCAAGTCCCATAGCAGCCACCCCTTGTGATCCTTTGCAATCCCCAAGTGCACACCCCATCTTCCAGAAGCCTCCAACTTCCCTCTTTTCTCCTTAGGCACATGAAACACTACCATGCACCCAAATGCCCTCAGCATGTTCACAGCTGGAGCACTCCCATACCACTTGGTATATGGGATCCACTCCTTATCCCCAACTGTAGCCAGCACCCTATTCTTCACAAGGGCGACCTGCCTCAGTGCAGACACCCAAAACGGATCAGGCAGCCCTGCACGCCCAAGGAGAGTGCGTGCCCCCTCCTGCAGGGTCCTGTTGAACCTCTCAGCCACGCCATTCTGCTGTGGGTTGTAGGGCACTGTCAGTTGATGCTGGATCCCCTTCCTCTTCAACTCCCCCTCAAAATCAGCTCCAATGAACTCCCCACCATTGTCACTGCGGATCACCTTCACCTTGTGTCCGCATTCCCTCTGAGCTCTAGGCATCCACTCCTTAAGGACAGCCGCTGCCACCTCCCCCTTGCTCTTCAAAGGGTAAACCCACACTGCCCGAGTGTGGTCATCTACAATTGTCAAGAAATAGCGGCTGCCTGAGAGGGAAGGGGCTCTTGTGGGCCCCACCACATCCATGTGCACAAGTGCAAGTGGGGTCTTGGCTGGTCCTGTAGTGCTGTTGAAGGGGAACTTGGAGAACTTGGTCTCCAAGCATGTAGGGCAGCTCCCAATCTCCTTCAATCCCCCTTTACCTCCAATCCTTTCAGGCTCCCATCCTTCACCAACTTCTGCAGCATAGGGAAGTTCACATGACACAGCCTCTCATGCCATGTCTCCCAATCGGCCTCTCCACTCCTTGATGAAGCCTTAGCCCATGCCGCACTTGCATCCACACCAGCAAGCACCTCACCATGTGTCTGCTGCTTCTGCACTTTCTTGACTGCTTCCAGGACCCCATCTGTTGGTGCAGTTGCATCTCCTCCTGCTGTTGCCTTTGCCGCTGCTGCCGTTGCTGCTCTTGGAGTCTTCCCATTCCAAGGGATGATGGGCAGCTGCCACAGGTCCTTGATGCAGCTGGTCTCCTCTTCCAGACTCCACAGCACCTTCTTCCCAAGCTTAGCACGGCAGCTGGTTGGTCCAAAGGTCACTTCGGCCTTACTCTTCTGCAGTCGCCGCACAGAGAGAAGGTTAGCAGACAAACCTTTAACCAGCAGAACATTCCCAAGCCCCACAAGCTCCCCATTAGCTCCCTTAACCTTGGCATTCCCAACACCAATTACGGGGAGCAAAGCACCTGACGCTGCTGCCACATACTTAATCTTCCCAGGGGGTTTTACCTCATCAAGCAAATCTGCCCGTGGGGTCATGTGACTGGTGCACCCTGAATCAATCACCCAGTGTGTGAGAGGGTGCATCACAACCTTTCCCACTGATCCCACATCACCCTTATGCCCATGCACATCCTCAACCATGAGATACATCCCAGGATAGGCGTTACCTTGTGCACCTTCAACTTGTGCACCTGAGCCTTGCACAGCGCCACCTTGTGCGCGTTCACCACTTGGCGGCTTCATGCCTGGAGGTGACCATCCCTCCGGCCTGCTGAAGCACTTGAACCAAGGATGCCCGACCTTCTTGCAGTACCAGCAGGTGCCCTCCATTCTGGTACTCCCCCTGCCACTGGAGCTTCCATGCCCCTCATTATAGTCACCTCGGCCTCTACCTGTGCCAAAGCTTCTCCCACGGCCTCGGCCTCTCCAACCCCCTCTTCCTCTGCCGCGCCCTGCAGCTCCATACCCCTCAGCAGTCTTAGTGGCAGCACCGCCTCCCACATGGCGTCTGCGGAAGTCCTCCTGCAGAATCTGCTGCCTTAGCCACTCAGGTGTCCATTGATCTTGCTGAGAGTTGAGGGTGGGGATGAGGTTGTCCCAAGAGTTGTCCAACACCGAGATGATCTTGGTGCACTGCTGCAGCTGAGATACACTGCTGCCCGCTGCTGCCATCCTTGCATAGGTGTCCTTGATCTTGTCAAGGACCGGCTTCACATCGTCCCCTGGTCGCATGGAGATGGCAGCAAGTTCCTTCTCGAGCACGATCACCATCAGGAGAGTGTTGGGCTGAATCACATCGCGTAGTAGTTTCCACGCCCTTGGACCCGAATCATCCGCTTCCACAAGATCCTTGATGTGCTCGAACATCTCCTTGTTGACCGATTGAAGGATGAGATCGAAAAGCACCGCGTTTTTCTCAATCCACCGTTCACGTGCTTCGCCTTCTTCCGGCATCTTCTCTTCCCCAACAGCAATCTTCAGGAGCTTGTAGCGTTTGAAGGCACTCCTCATCCGCCCGCTCCATTCCTCATAGTTGGAGCCATCCAAAGCTTCAACTTTTGATGGCGGCGGCTCACTTGTCTTCTCAGCTACAGCTCCTCTTCCATTAGCATCTCCTCCTCTCTCATTCATCTTCTCCTTGAGAAATGACGAATTTCAGCTCCCCTTTGCTGTCCACACTCAGCTCCCTCGATATTTTCACAAGTGTCGGCGTCCACGAAATTTCGGCAGAGTTTCCCCTTAGCGGAAGACACATCCAACCTTCAGAACACCACTTAGGCACACCCACAGGCCATGGTGGGTCTAGAAGGGTCTTCAAACTTCTGTAGACTCCTCTCAATGTCCTTAATATCGCTCTGATACCACTTGTTAGGATTAAGGACGGAGTCTAGGTGAACTTAGGAGCTAGAATTACTCAAAATATAAATCCGAAATTCTGGACAGAAAAGTCGTCTTCACAAGAAACGACGTCGACGACAAACTAGCCGTTGGAATGTCGCGAAACTTGGATATGTTGTAGCTCTTAATCTCAGCTACCGTTCCCAATTTGAATCATGTTGATTGATGAAGTATTCGCGACGCTATGGCTTTCGACGCACTAGGGGGTAAGCTGTAGGAGGAGAACTTAACTCAATCTCAAAAGGTTCAATCAAAGTTCAAGAATCTCACAAGGAATTAGAGGAGCAAGAGAAAGGTTGGGATAGAAGAGAGGGATGAGAAGGAAGGTCCCAAGAGAGTCCCCAACCAAGGAAACCCCATAAGCACAAAGATTCCCTCCCTATAGGAACCCCAACTTTGACATTTGTCCCTCCCCAACCAATCCATCCAAGTTGGCCACCCTTGCCAACCTAGCTTGGTTGTTCCCAACCAATTTGCAGCTGTTACAGTAGAGTGACAAATTTCCCCAACCCCCAAAGGTCCCAACTCCATATAAAGTCACCCCACAACTTCACTTTGTAACCGCCGCAATTGTAACGCAAGCTCATGAACTTTGAATCTTCATAGCTTTCGCGTTCTTGCTCCGATTGAAGGGATTCTCGTTGCGTCGGAAAGATCTTCTCAAGATCTATCATCACAAAAAACCTGCTCAAACAAAATAACACAAAACACATTCCCAAACTCCAGAACACATCACACACAAATTCTTGCACACGTTCAAACCACACATGCAAGTTGAAAACATGGGATGGGAGGCAGACAGAATGTGATAGCATATGATGACATCACACAACAGTTACTCGTACAGGGGCTGAAGGTGTTGGTGCATATTCATTTGCACGTCATCCTGTCGTCTGTTCGCATCATTTCGTTGCATGTGTTTTATGTGCTACGTTGTTTGTATGGTTTGTTGGGTTTGCATGTCTTTTCATGTATGTCTTGTGCTTGTGCAGATGTGCTTGGATTGTGCATGACATTGAGTACATTCCAACGAGCCAAGAATTGTTGGAATCGGAGCATACATGAAAAGGTTACGAAGAAATGTTTGATGGATTTGTTACAACTCATTGGAAGTCCTTGGCAGCTGCTACACCAAAGTTGGAGAGCCCTATAACGAGGAGGGACCAGCATGTGTGGGACTTTTGTTCTCACCTTGCAGCTGCAGCATTTGGGGTTTGGAGGCCAACCTGGCACAGTGTGAATTTTGTCTTGCCAGGCTGGTTGAGCCTGAGGATGGGGAGTCAAGACTTTGACTCTTGTCATATTCTTGACCAAGGGCCTCCTGGGTCCTTCCCTTTCATCCTTCCCTTCCTACCCCACCTTCCAACTATGCTTCAATGCCTTTTCCATCATGCCTCTGAACTTGTAAGCTTCAATAATAGTGACTCTGAGGACTGTCAATTTCTCCTAGGGCAGATTACCCCCCAGTGCGCCAAAGGCCATAGCTCACTCGATAAGCTACGGAATCGAGTGATTCAACTTTCAGTGGAAAGCTGACGCTGCAAGCTACAATATATCCCATGTTCACAGTGTTTCATCGATTGGAGTTTTGAATATAGCTTTTCGAAGGTCGCGAGTTTTCTGGGCATCATAACGAAGTGCTGCAGAAATTTCCAAGGAGCCATTGAATCATCTGCTTATAGCCTTCTCTAACCAACATGTGGTATCAGAGCCCATTATCACGCATTTGGGACCTAAAATACGATGGGAGATAAGGAGGACTCTGGTGGAGGTGATACTTCAGTCCAAGGAGGCAGCTCAACCCAAGATTCTGGCATTGCTGCGCAAAGAGGAGCACGTACAAGCCAGGGGTCACTGCTTAAGGAGGTGCTGAAGAACTTCACCATTGAGAAGTTCTCTGGAGATGGCTATGATGATTGGGCATGGAAGATGCAGCTCTACTTTCGACAAATTGGTCTCTTGAAGGTCATGATTGGAACGGAGCCAAAGCCAAAGGAAATGGCAGAGTAAGTGGACTGGGATGAACATTCATCTGCTGGGTATTATCTACTGTCACAAAGCTTGGAGCTTCTCTCATGCTGGATCGGGAGCTGTCCATGCTGCGGTTGAGCAAGAATGAACCTGTGCAGCCCGTACTGGACAAGATGAGGGAACTGTACGCGAAATTGGCGATTGCAGGCATCACGTACCCTGAGCAGACTAAGTGTCTCAAGATGCTCAGCCTGCTGCCCGAGTCTTGGCTGCAATTTATAAGCGGACTCAGCTTGCCACAAAACCAAAGTCAATGGACATTGGAGTGGATTCGCACCAAGATTCTGGAAGAAGATTTTCGTCACTATACACTGCGCGGAGGTGATGAAAGCACCAGCGGCTACGCCATACAAGGGACATGGAGGGATCGAGGGCGTGGCAATCGCAGTCTCTCTTACTACAGCCAAGGTGGTCGCGGGACTTGGAACCAGCAGGGGCGTGGTGGCGCTGGTGCAAGAGGAAGAGGTGGTCACTCCAACAATGACAACAGTGAACCACGCTTGACGGGAGAGTGCTGGTATTGCAAGGAAGAAGGGCATCCATGGTTTCGCTGCTCTACCAAGCCCGACTGGTGGACTCCTTGGAACCAATCGCAAAAGGGGAATGGAGGAAAGCAACCACATGGAGGTGCCAACATGGTAGCTGATCATGCTGAAGAAACCTCCAAGGATGACAGAGGAATGGGAAATGAGGAGAGGAATGCTTGACAGTTCTACTATGTGTGTGACAAAGATGACAGTGGCACAGCTGTTGCAAATGCTGGAGAGGAATTGCACCCGCTTGATATGTGGGTCATGGACTCTGGTGCTGCATGGACAATGACACCATGCAAGGACTTGCTGGATGCTGTGCGAGCGCCTCCAATCTCGGAAGTGCACTCAACATCCGGACATGCAGTGAAGGTCGCTGCAGTTGGTCGAGCTGTATTCAGAGCACCGTATGGTGGACTGGTTGTGCTGAAGGACGTGTTACTCGTACCGGGGCTGAAGGCCAATCTGATATCGCTGCGCAAGCTAGGCCAGGCCGGAGTCAGCACCACCACTAATGGATCCAAAACATTCAAGGGGCTGCGAGGAGATCGTGTGTTATGGGATTTAGACGAAAGCAGAGATGTCTTCAGATCCATGTGGCAGATCCCTGCACTGATATGGGAATCAACAAAGAAGGAGTTGGGAGCAGTAAAGGCAGGATTTAGAGTCCAGGGGGATTGCAATGCAGTTAGTGCTGCAGGAGTGACGGTTTCTGCAAGTTTGGGGGAGACTGATTGGGAAACCGCACACAGGCGTCTAGGGCATGTGGCTATGCCATTGCTGCAGCAATTGCATAAGGAAGAAGCAGTAAAGGGGCTGAAGCTTTCTGGGAACCAAATGATACCAAGTGCAAGACGTGTCTGCTGAGCAAGTTCACACGGTTCCCCTTTCACGGCGTAGCTGGGAAAAGCAAGGCAGCACTGGAACTGGTGCACATGGACCTGGTAGGACCTTTTCCAGTTCGAGGAAGTAAGGGGGAAAGGTACTTCCTGAGAATAATTGATGACTGGAGTCGGTTGATGTGGGCATACCCGTTGAAGCAGAAGGATCATGCTGCCTCAACAATACGAGATGACTGGCTGCCGTTCGTCGAGCGACAATCTGGGCACCCGTGCAAGAGCATCAGAACCGACCGAGGTGGAGAGTTTCTAGGAGGAGATCTGACTGCGTGGCTAAAAAAACAAGGCATTGAGCATCAGCTAACGACGTCCTATACCCCTCAGTCAAATGGCGTTGCTGAGAGGGCTAATAGGACCATCCTAGAATCTGCGCGAGCTTTGCTGATCGAATCTGGGCTGGGAAACTCCATGTGGCCTCATGCGGTGAGGCATGCTACAGTGGCAAGGAACCGCGTACTCACAAAGGTGGCTGATGATATGTGGGTGCCGCTGGAGAGGTGGCTTGGAAAGAAGCCTCCAGTGGACATGCTTAGAGTGTTCGGATGCATGGCAGTGGCGCATGTCCTTAAACCGTACAGGACAAAGCTTGGAGCATCTGCACTGTGGTGTGTGCACCTTGGGCTTGCGGCAGAGAGCAAGGGGTGGCTACTCCGGGAGCCCTCAAAGAATGTGCTGTTTGACAGTCGGGATGTCAAGTTTGTGGAGAACATCATGTATGGCAAGTGGGAGAAGCAGCCGGAGGCAAGGGTCACCCAGCAGCTGGAAGAGATCACTATGCACTTCGATTTGTCAGAACCTGAGGACAGCGAAGTCACTGCGCCAACAGCAAGCGGTACTGATGAAGGAAGCAATGAGGATATTGCAGCTGATGCTGAAGTCAAGGATCCGGAGCAGCAGCAGCAAGAGGCTTCCAAAACACCAAGTCTGCCAAAGCGAAGGAAACAGATTGGTGGGGGGACAAAGGATTGGGTGAAAGTGAAAGAATGGGTAAATCCAACCATCTACCCTGCACGTACCAGAATGGCAACGAGAAAGCTTCTGAGCTCTACAAGTGGAGGAGCCACAACTGAGTAGCAGGAACAGGCTCAAGGCGAAGATGCAGTGCTGCTCTTGGGTGATGACCAAGAGTCAGATGGCGAGGAGCCTGCATACTGCCTTTACGCACCAATGCAACCTCCGAAAATGGATCATGCGCTAGCCAGGCCTCAACAGGGGAACTGGCTCGTTTCAAGAGATGCAGAGTACAACAGCGAGATGGAGAATCACACATGGGACCTGGTGTACTTGCCAAATGGGAAGAAGTCAATACAGTGCAAGTGGCTGGCAAAAATCAAGACGGATGAGAAAGGAGAGCCATCAGTTTACAAGAGCAGGCTGGTGGCAAAGGGGTTTCAGCAGAAAGAGAAGGAAGATTACAAAGAAGTGTTTGCCCCAACTGCTAAGTCTCCAACGCTACGTGTGCTGCTGGCGGTAGCTGCTGTGCGCAAATGGAAGGTGAAGCAGATGGACATCGTAACCGCTTTTTTGTACGGCATTGTGGAAGAGGAGGTGTACATGGTTCAACCACTTGGCTATAAGGATGGAACCGGTCTTGTCTGCAAACTTAACAAGGCCATCTATGGCTTGAAGCAGGCCCCGAGATGCTGGTACAACAGACTGGCCAGTGCACTGGAAGGGATTGGATTCCGTGCGAGTGCATGCGACGAGAGCCTATTCCTGATGGGCGAGGGATTGTCGCTTGTGCTTCTGCTGGTGTACGTGAATGACATCCTGCTCTTTAGCAGCAGTGACAAGGAGATCGATGGGGTGCAGCAGAAGCTCACAGAGCAGTTCAAGTGCAAGTCACTTGGAGAGGCAAGGTACTACCTGGGAATGCACATTGAGCGGGATACTGAACGTGGCTGGCTCAAACTGCATCAGGGATAGTACATCAACACCTTGGCTGAGAAGTACTCTCTGCAAGAAGAACGGGAAGTGGTCACACCTTTGCCTTCCGAGTTCAAACTCATAAAGGCAGCTGAAGGAGGAGTTGAGAGTGAAGACCAGAGGCAATTCCAATCCATGGTCGGGAGCCTACTCTACGCTGCTGTGCATACTCGGCCTGACATCAGCTTTGCTGTGGGACAGCTGGCTCGAGTAGTGCAAAATCCAACAGAAGAGCAGTATGGTGCAGCGGAGACAGTGGTGCGCTACCTCAAGTCATACCCTACAGTGGGAGTACAGTATTCAGCCTCTGCTCAACTCAGTCAGAAGGGAGTTGAAGTTCTCAAAGAGAAGGGGGAGCAGCTCGGAGAAGGAAAGGTGTTCCTTTCCTGTTTTGCTGATGCCACATGGGCTTCTGAGCATGAGGATTCATCATCA